AGAATTATTTTGTGCATTAAATTGAATGAAGATGGTCTGGATAGCCCACAGACATACCATAAACATTTCTASGACCATAACTGGTCTSCTTTAAGTTATTTTTGAACTTATTCTGAAAGCACAGAGCCTGAGCAACAAGCTGGTCTTCTGACTAAAAGGCAGATCTTCTGAGACGCTGAAAGCCACAAACCCTGGAGTCGTACTGGGGTTAAGTCCTCCTGACCCAGCTGACCTGACGGTAGACCCACACCAAAAGGTAGAAGCTGGTTTTGTGTGTAAGCCCAGAAGATCCAGCTGAGTGGGAGACACAGATCTGGGCTGTTCTGGTTCCAAACTTATATAAGATAAATAATAAGAATTAAATCCTTATTAATACTCTTTTTCCTCCTTTCTCAATCTAAAGATTCTTACCATAAGTTAAAGAACGTGTAAACTGAGTTTAATAACATCTAAGACTGGTTTAGYGTTTTCTTCATTCTGTGTCACAGCTGCAGTAGTTCCTGTGGACACAAAGTGATTATTATTAATGTTTAACTCAGACAGCTCTGATTATTAGTCTTAATTTGTACAGAAGTTAGTTCCTTTATTCTGTAAAATAAATATCCTTTATTTTAAAAGATTGAACGGGCTGTGATTACAAATTACTGAGTCTGTTTTCTCACTTTCATTCTGGGAGAGGTATGGGTCTTTGATAAAAACAACCCATGTTTTCCTCATTAATTTCAGAAGTATGTACACAACGCTGGACGTGTACTACACAGGTCAGGCTGATCTGTGAGTAAAGTGAGCAGTTTCCTGTTGACAGAAACCATTAGTAACTTAGGTCCAGTTGGTCCCAKTAAACTTTACCACACAGATGTGTTTGTTGCCTTACAGAGGATCTAAATACTGTTCAAAGCACAGCCTCTGGTTGTGTGTCACAGATTGTGTTATGTCTCGTGGTGTATCACAGGTTGTGTCTGGTTGTGTGTCACAGGTTGTGTTTATGTCTCGTGGTGTATCACAGGTTGTGTTTATGTCTCGTGGTGTATCACAGGTTGTGTCTGGTTGTGTGTCACAGGTTGTGTTTATGTCTCGTGGTGTATCACAGGTTGTGTTTATGTCTGGTTGTGTGTCACAGGTTGTGTTTATGTCTGGTTGTGTATCACAGGTTGTGTTTATGTCTCGTGGTGTGTCACATGTTGTGTTATGTCTCGTGGTGTGTTACAGGTTGTGTTTATGTCTCGTGGTGTATCACAGGTTGTGTTTATGTCTGGTTGTGTGTCACAGGTTGTG